AACCATTTGATTTAAAAGAAAGTTCCAGAACGCTGTCTGTTTTATTATTGATAAGAAATTAATTTGAATCAAAACATATGTTTTTATACGATAAGCATTTTATGACGCAGATCTAACGGTCGTTTTATACGATAAGCATTTTATGACGCAGATTTAACAGGTGTTTGTGTGCGATAACATCGATTTTGATTTGGGCGTGGCATTTTAATCCATCAAACTCGATTAATTAAAATTTGACACAAACTTGTTTCCTTATTTTTTGATGTCTTAGATCATATGAATCATTTCTAATCTCCAAATGAAAGGAAGTGAACAAACATCTCACCTGGAAGAAAGAAAACACTCAGTAACATACTGATTGTCAGCATTGTCACAGGCTGAGCTGCCATCAGACTCTCACTGTTCTCCATCAGCTCTCTTAGTCTGGACAAAAACATCTGAGAATTACAGTTTATTATCTGTGATTTAAATCAAAGTCACTGCTGAATAAAACAGGTTCCTTTTCAGGTAAACCAGGGACATCTGATGATAGAAGACAAAATTCAAAAAGAAATAAATCCTTTTTGACAAAGTGCAAAAATAAAGAAGCCATTTAGCTTTGATGTTAAAATTCTGTCATAGATAAAATCAAAGATTTATCTGATTCAGAATCTGAAACAGTGGAAGGACTTACCTTTAAAACAAATAATGTGTGAACTTCAGTTGAAGAGCCGCAGATCCAGGAACCTCTCTGTATAAAAACCTTTATCTTTGTGTCAAAGACAATGGCTGTATTTATACGTTCTTCTTCTTTCAAAGAGGATGTTGGTTTGCTTTTGATTTGGTTGAGTTACATTTTACCTGCAGTAGCTGACTGATAAAATGAAGGCAGGATTAAAACTAAACTTACAGTAGAATACCGGCAGCTGCACTCAACAGTATTTTCACCACTGTATACGGTAAGCTACTTTCAATATTAATTACAATTTAAATTGTAAATTTATACTAAATTACTGGCAGCTATACTTTCACAGTAAGCTACTGACAGAACAAATTCCTGTACAGATAATGTACATTTACACTACTGCTGTCTTTAGCAGCCAACATTTTCCTGTAAATTTACATCATTATTAGAGTAGACAATTTTCAGTGGAGTTAAATATTTGCCTTTAATACTAACAAGGATCACAGATGATCTGGTTTGATCCAGATCATCAGTAAAATCATTTTGTCTTAGATGCAATAAAGTTATAAACCTGCCGTACAGATACATTCATGGCTCCATTAACTTCTAATAAGTTATGTTTATATATACATATACAGAGTCGTATGGTTTTCTTTGACACGTCTGTTTGAGGAAGTGAAAACAGATGAGACAGGTGCTGCTCCTTCACTAGCACTGCTCTTTGGTCACCTTCAGCTCACTGAATATTAGGTTTAATTATAATATAAGATGCTTCGCTTGTTATTATTGGGGCTCATGAGCTTGTGCTTATCTGGCATTGATGAGTTAATATTTGTCATATTGGCCTTTTTTGTGTTTTGATGTTACTTCCCCATAAAACAACTAAGTTCTTTTATAGTGCTTGACCTCCAAACATATTAGTGCCAATAACTCATTTTACCAGCAGCAAACATTTTTAAATTATAAGAAAAAAATCTTTACAAAAATAGATGCAATGAATATAAAACATCTTAGATGCTATTAGTAAAATAATATAAGGAGGATAAAACAGAAAAAGAATGCAAAAAGTTATTAAAATAATCTACAAGACTAAAATGGCATGCACAAATACAAGAAACATTAAGAATTACACAAAAAAGCCTGACATTCGAATGAAGAAAAGTTTTATTCCTGTTACACAGGAACACCAAACTGCCGTTTGCATATTGTTACAGCAACACTTTCATGAAAGTGTGATAAAGAAATGTTCTTGTGTGCAGACATGCCAGCTGCTGCTGGAACTTCAGTCAGGAAATCACTGTTACAATGCACCGTGTCATGGGGTTTGTCGAAAGAGTATAAAATGTTAGAATTTTAGTTCTCGTTCCTATGGCGTCAGTATAATAAGGATCAAAAAAGAAGAAGTAAAACCATCTGTGTTGTTCCATAGCAATGCCTGCCGAAGCTCCACTTCTACAGTAAAACAAAAGATTTCTCTGGCACAGTGACTTTATTAAAAACAGGTTAATATATACACAGTTATATATATGTGTGGCCTTCCCAGAGAACATCGCCCATGGCTGTATATTTTAACATGACTTCCCTTTGCAGGTGATGTTATTCAAGGCAACATCACTGGTTTCTATCAGCTGTTGTTTCTCCTCAGTCAAACTAAAACTGTTTCAGTTTAGTGGATGTTAAATTGTGACCTTCACCACTCCCAAACTATGGAAATAGTTCAACGAGCATGAATACATTCCACAGCTGATTACAATTTTCATGATATATTTATTTATTCAAACAACTGAAATAGAATAAAAGAATGGTAAGGTTTGATGCTTCATATATTACCCTTTTTTGAAAGCAAAACCATCTAGTGTGTTTTTAAATTCAGTACAAAAAAAATAATAATTAAAAAAACATGCCTGAATGTAGCAGCCAAATCTTAAAAACTATCCACTTCTTTTATTCATTGACAATTTTTACATTCAGGAGAAGATCTGCTTAACTCTTACAAACTCTTTATTTTTCAGCATTTATGGGCCTTATTTTTAACTCGGTTATCCACTAAAGGATCACTATTTACTCCATAAGTAACACACTAGAATGTGGAAACAAGTATCAAACATTATCTACAGCACAATGAATGGTGATGTGATGGACTGAAGATCCATTCAGGGTCTATCCAGCCTTTCAGTAACTGATTCTTGCAGAAATAAATTTGAACAATTGGACAGAAAAATAGATGGAAAAAAAAAATCCTCTCTCTGACAGAGGCCTTGACATCTTCCTGGCCTCCTTGCAGCTCATGATGCTTTTGTCACCACCATATTGTTGACATAGATTGGCTCTTCTGTTTCCTGTAGACATAAAGCAAAAACTGCTTGTTTGTTTTGTTTTGTTTTTTCTAAGTCAATTTACTTGAGCTAAAATTGCTTCTAGGAATTTAAAGTTGGTCTTTTGGTTTTAGCCTCACTGGATTCCCAACTAAAAAAAGCATGTATTACACATACATTAAATGTGACTTAATAGAAATTTGACTACATATTTGAAATTGGCCCTATGTCTCTTTAAGAAACTTTTGCTCACTCCGCCTGCAGAAAGTCATCATGACGTCGCTCCTCTATTAACCCTTTAGTGTTGCACTGAGAAGTTGCTCCTATAATGAGCTCAGCAGACGCAAAGCAAGTGTTTGCAAATTGTTGCTGGCTAGTCTGAAGGAGCTGAGTGGGGGAAATCATTATAGTATGTCTCATAGTGACAGTTTCAAAAATATGTAATAAAACATATATACTGCAGTTTTAAACATTTCTGAAATCATTTGACTTAAACTCAAACTTTAAAAGATATTGTTTCCATAAAACCTAACATGGAGGTTTATGCCTGAAGAATTTATCTTTTCTTCTCACGCAGTGTTAAGACGCAAACAATGAGCTCAGCTTACCTTTTTTGGTTTGTTGTAGAATCTGAACCACCTGAAAGAATAATGATTAATTGAAACGCCAGCATTTAATAAAAGTTACAAGGTATCTGCTGATAGAAGAGGATCTCACCACTCAAACATGATGATGGCAGCACCGATCATTACAAGCCCCAGGATATTCACTATAATATAAGCTGTGAATCCAGGCTCCTGATCATCTGTAACAAGAAAACCAAGTCCCCAAAATTATTTGTTACTGCAAATAATTCAAACCTGTAAAAGGTGGTTTGATTGTTTTTTTATGTTTTGTAAACCAAAACTAATTCAGTGATTCTTTATGAGAAATGAGTGTCAGCTAATGTGTTACCTTTAGTTTTAACAAGGACCACAGACGACTGATTTTCACCCAGATAATTTGTGGCCACACAGTAAAACTCTCCTCCCTCAGCAACTATAAATCTGTAAAAGTTCCCTGTAGCTACTGTAATGTGTTCATGTTTGCTCTTCCAGAACCAGGTGAATCTGGGTGGAGGTTTGGCTCTGCTGGAGCAGCTCAGCTCCACCCAGCTACCTGCTGACACCAAACCTGATGGACTGATGGATGCTGAGGTGTTTCTAGGAGCATCTGAGGAAAATGAGACACATGAACTTTATTGATCACAAACAGCTGAACCATGACCTGCTGACAGGATCACTTACATGAAACACTGAGAGTCACTTCTGTCTCTGCTGTCTTGTTTCCTCCAATCACAGGATATCTGGCAGAACAGCTGATGTTGTATCCATCATGTGTGTCTGACAGAGTGATGTTCTCCTGGATTTTAGTTGTAAAGGTTCCATCTGTGTTTTTCTCTGTTTGTCTGAGAGAGTCTTGTTGGAGATTCCAGGTGAGTTGAGGAGGTGAGTGTGGACAGGGAGTGAAAGCTGAGCAGGTTACAGTGACAGACTGATGCTCCTTCAGGTCAGAGGGAACATTAATGCTGGGACTCCAAGGAGAATCTGGGGTTTCACAGTAAATCAACAGGATAAAACTGAAGCATGTGTAAAATGTGCAGAATGAATGCTCAACAGTTTTCATTATGTTTTAAGTAAAGATTAAGTTGTCCAAACAGCATATTAACATGGTTATTTTGCTGCAGTCTTATGTTAAGAAGCTGTTGGCTAACAATTTGTCATCAAAACATTTAAGAATATCTGAAATCATGTTCTTGTCCTCAAAACAGAAAGTGTCTCATCAATTTTTTGGAGAAATTGCTGCAACTCTGCCTTAAGGTACCAGTACTTCTCTACTCCAGAAAGAGATGCACAATATCCAGAGGAGAACTGAGCAAACAGGCAAAGTAGTGATTGATCAGAAATGGGCCCCGCACTCTAAGTGTACCATTAAATGAAAACAATCTAAATGTGTCAAGGATGTGGAACTTTGTACATCAGTATCATAGTATGAACAAACAAAAACTTTCTCACCTTTAACTTTTAAATGAAGAGGATTACAACGATCTGTTGCTCTGAACGGCCAGCTCTGAATTCGTAGGAAGTATTTGTCTGTATAACTCGTCTTTAAATCAGGAAACAGTGGTGCAGTCTTCCTCACTGAGGTTTCCAATCATTTTC